ACACTATGTGAAATGCCTGGGTGTCGTAAGCAGTGGTGTTCGTACGTTTTCTCAATTTCTCTGTATCATCAGTCCGCTGGATTTTCTAATTTTCTCTTCGATCCTACTTTCAACCTTTCCTGTCTTTCTCCTAATGTTCATTCAAATGGGTAGCCAAAAAACACCAATTGAAACCGGTGCACGATAGTGCATGGTTATTGGTTGTATAAAGTGAAAACTAAAAAAGTGTTCGTGAGGGAATCGAACCATCGTATGGGAGATTGATCTTTTAGAAAAATGAGAATTGATGAGAACTAACCATTCATGGGGCTCCCGGTTCACACAAAATCCTCAGTTCCTCCATGATTTCAGATTTGAGCGTGAAAATGGCAGCTGAGGGACGGTCAGTCCAAACTAATGATATGTATTCCTCACTACTACTCATAAGTAACTGTGAATTGAATACGCAGTAAAATGTGAATTCAGCAGTTTACAGCGAGTGATACATCGGAACAACAGAATAAGAGACAGTGATGTTAATCCGATCATTGTGACTCGTCTGCACATGATAAACGAGAAGTCACAATCAGAGCTTCGTGTTTATGTGTACATATGCATACTTTTTTTTACCTACAGGGCATAACAGTAACAGCGGATTGGGAGAAATCAATGAACCATGATATATCAGTTTTGTTTTCTTACAAACGCTTGAGGAAAGTTACCACGAATTATATCCAGTTTTCCAATTTTTTCACAATGATCATAATTCCTTTGCCGATTTCCCCCATTTCAATAAGGGTTATACTTGGTTTTCCTCAAGGTACCCAACGGCTACCATCATTTTCCTATTGTCACCCTCATATAGGAATTGAAGTATGTGTATATATGCACGAATTAAGTGTAGATCACAATAATAATTTGTTTATCATGGAAACGTACTTTGAAAAACACGCTGATTGCAACGATCCCGTGAGGTTGAGCTAATGCCTGAGAGAAGTTTTTGTACAAATTCCGATTGAATGCGTAAATCTGAAGCTGCGAACAAACAAAAAACAGATAGACATAGAGGATTCAAGTCAAGTCAAGTCAAGTAAAGCTTTATGAAGTCAGAAGAGATCAGTCATTGTCGTACATAGGGTAGATTTGTTCGCAGCAGTATGCCAATTTGAGTAATCACCAGACTGGTGATTACCAACTTGGGCTTTGTGAGCACAACAGTGTTGTTTAAAAATACTGTTACATTTATCGGAATGAATAGAACAGCGAAAAATGGCAATTGAACACTGCGTATACTCCGGCACTTAGATCACGCTTCGGTGTATGTATACGCAGTTCCTGAAGAACACGTGGTGCGGAGAGTATCTGTATTCTAATGGCTTGTGGTTAATCACACTCGGCAGATTCCGGATTCGAACCCTGTTTCATAGAGTAAGAAAAATATGTATAAAGAACAATGAACTGAACGAGCAGATGACTATCATTACCAGCACATAAGAATTCTGATTTTATAGAAGGAATTTGTCGTGTATAGAGTAAATGAAACGGGAAATGAAAAACTGGGAGGTACTGTACAGCTGTTTTGACCTGGTTCGCACTCATCAGTTTTAACCAACCCATCGATCCAACTGGGGATCAAACCCGGGATCTCACAAGCAGAATGAAAGCTTGTTCAGTTCATTGAAATTTTGAAAGAGTGATTATTCAAATCTTTCGCTCTCATCCTCTGCTAATATGGTACAGAAATGAGATTTGTTCCACCGGTTTTTGTTTTTTTCACTTAACTTTTCAAATTCTGGTTCAGTTCGCTTAGGCTACCACACTGTGTGCGAGAGCTGTTTGGATCACAGTTCGCCGATCCGGTCATTTCTAAGCCGTATCTCATTTTTTACCTACAGCATAGGCAACATTCCCAGAAGCGGATTAGTTGTCAAATCTGACTTGCTTTGGCACGATACGGCGATCAAATTTTACTGCCAACTAGAAATATCTGCTGATCGAACAAATTACATGAAAACATCGTATCAGTGAATCGCCAATTTTCACCCAATGATTCACGGTTTGAGATTCATCCGCGAGGGTTGCACAAGTGCATCGGTCCCAATTACTGGCCGCTAACTTAAGCACCCGATACCTGTGGACTTCTTGCTTATATGATACAGGTTGCTTCGCCGTTTTCTTACAGATCACATCAATCTTGGAACATCGTTTTCTATGTATGAGCTTCTTGCACAATGTGGCGAAGTCTTGCGAAATAATTCGTCGGAAAGAAAACCTTTGTGGATAAACGAATTTGATCGTTCGCATATTACGGACCACTTGGGTAAATTTTGGGAACAGAATTGCTTAAAGACACATCATCACCAGGCGGAATAGCCAAATTGGAATTGTATTGTATTAAATGCACATTATGAAATGGGGAACTGTTTACATGGATTTTGGCCAGTTTAATGAACCACTTGCTCATATTACGTGTGCAATCACCTTCTATCCACCATCAAATTTTAATGTCCATTCACCTAAGTAGAAATGTAACAACAAAGGTCAAGGAATTCACAATGTTATTGTAAAAATTTAAAGGTTCTGCAGAAATTCACCACGCCAGTTCAATNAGGGCTGATCCAGATATGTGCATTTGCTCTTCCTACCTCCTCCCACCAATCGGTCGTTTAATTTTCATCTTGGATTGTGATCAGTTTATTTATCGATTAGACTACCGCCTAATCATTGATCTGGTACATTCATGGTACATGGTAAAGTCATTCGTTTCACAAACCACTTGGTCTCCACACACGGAATACATTTCAGGTAGCATTTTGAAACCCCTTCATCCCACGATTGTCAATACTCTTGCATTTATTCCATTCCTGCATCTCGTGAATCCAGCTTTCTGGATTTGGTGACATTCTGGTGACATGTGGCACCAATATCTCTGTCTGACTGATGATAAATGGTTATAAAGGAGTTCGCATCGGTCTTTATACCAGATTGTATCATAGCAACTAGTCCGCCTCCGCTTTCTTTCTCTTTTGTGAGCCTTTTTCAATTGTTTTCATTTCATATTATGTATTCCGCATTTGGTACGTAGACTACAAAAAAAACATACATACACAAGACCCAATTAACTGTGATTGGCTGAGTTTTAAATACGCCAGTCCCTTTGGTGTAACGCGTGTTTTGGTTCGGCGTTGCCAATCGAGTGGTTTGGCTCAATATGGTGTTCCATTTTAGTTCCTTAGCCGGATTGCTCATAGCTTGCAATATGTTGTACATGCCATCAGTTTATCTATATCTCAGCACATGTAGATTACTAAACTCAGGTTCTGTTTTACTAGACTTCGCGATTTGTGTTTAGCTGCTAACCAGTTCACCCCTGGACGCCAATCCCTCACTTCAATCTGTATATTTTTAACTGAAATGTAGGCTTTACGCCTACAGAAGTTATTACAATACAATCCAATACAATCCGAAACCGGTAGTATGTACCAGACTGTTTGTGAAATAGTCATCACAACTTCCTTCTCGCAGGCTTTCTCACCCTTCCGTTTATGTTCAGTGATACGCAGGCAATCAGTACTAATGAAAATAATCTTTCTGGTTCATACAAAAGTTCTCTCATATGAGCAGACTATACTATGATACTCATATTGGATAACGAGTCCCTTACAAATAGAATGACATCGGAATTCACGTTTAGAAATACTTTTGTATCTTGGACACAGTTTCCCCATAAGGAATTTGAATAGAGAGACCAAAAACACAGGTTTGTACAATGTATCCTGGATCATTTCGCTGCATCTGTACACGTGCATAGTGAAGTCTCTGTGATCATTAATGTATGGTCAACACGTGTTCAGGTGCAACGAAATGATCCAGGGGATACATTATGCAAACCTGTATTTTTGGCTTCTTTATTCAAATTTCTGTATCGGTTATACTCACATTATTTGTGTTGAAGATCTAGGTAACGTAAAACTCTCAAACAAGGAGACGGTAATCACGTGTGATATATATTCCACCCATCTAGTATCTGTATCTACTCTCTCATTTACCACCTAGCGGCCCTCATTCAACCGCAGCTCCCTTCCAGAGAAGCAAGCATATCTTCGTTGTCCACCAAATGTAATGGCTGTTCAAAGTGTAATAGTACTGTATGGCAAATGGAGAAGAAAAGAAAGTTGTAACCCACTTTCTGTATGCCTAAGTTTGATGGGCTTGTTGGTACAATGAACTCCGAGTGTACAGAAAAAAACCACGCTTTAGCTGGGATTTATTTTCCTCGATCAGCAATGGGACGCAACAAATCGACACCATATTTCACTCACCTCACCCGGCAAACTGCGACCGTCGATGCGATGATCCGAACCGCGCGAGGAGACGGAACCGAATTTCATGTTCAATGTGACTGCTTGGAATTCGTATGAGAATGGACCCCCAGTGAGAACAATTTGTTCGGACAGTAGCGAGAGACGTAAATCTTGACCAGCATTCTCAACAATCAGATCCAACTGTGGTCAGAGAATGAGTTAGCGGTTAGCGTGTGTGTGTGTGTGACTGCGTAACGCACTGTATATGGAAATTTAAATAAAGATATTAATCACCGCAAATTTCTGATTCAAATAAAATTTTCCATTATCGTTAAACAGAGGAGGAGGAAAACTCCCGTTTATATCTGATCACCACTAACAGAGTGCATAAGCTTATGCTTATTTCTCGAAGAAAGCTGTAAAGTTTGTTTATTATTGAGCTCATCCACAGCATCAGCCGGAAGAGCATCCCATTAGTTAGTTGCCCCGTGCGTCAGTCTGTTCCACCAAGGTAATTTTAACTGACGAAAGCTTCACCTGTGGGAGCTCTGGACCACGTGTCCGATTTTTCTCGGGGTGAGAACAGTTTGCCTTTAGCTCAGAGTTCTTATCATCACAAGGAATTCTTCGTGCCCCAGTCTCCCCCCCCTCAACCCCCGTGCTACTGAAAAACGTGTGATCACTTTACAGTTGTATCATTTTCCTCTGCCTTTATCACACTATATTCTATTTTTGTTTATATTGCATAAATCGCATGTGAAACTAAGCAACATGGTCGTATCACATAACATTGGAAGGTCTCTTTCCACTTATCGTTCGTACCGGTCCTATGGAATAGCTCCAATCCAATCACTCTGTCCGCACCAGATTCAAGGCGGATGCAAACATTCAGTGAATCAAAGTGTTTCCTATCCCGATAATCATGGCTTCACAGTCCATTTCCGGTTCCGTTGTTTAGAGTGGGTCTGTTTGGCGGATCGCGAGAGTAATCATTATTAACTGCTCTGCATATCACGTCCATATCGCACAGAATAGACACACTGTAGTAAGACTGCAGTCATATTATTTATGTGTGGTGTTCACTGAATCCCAAAAATCCATGAAAGACTATCCTTTTATGCACACAGGCTCAGAAAACTGGCCGTTTTGTATAACCTCCTTCTGAAATTAGTGATGGCATGCAGCCTTTAACACTGGTTACACTGATCCCCGTGATAGTTGTTCCCGGTTGAAACATAAGACAATTTTATTTGGTTCTCTAAATTACAAGCACCATGGCTGCCGTGCAGTGGAATTGATGCCGCTAGTTTCGGTCGCGGTTTTGCTACCAAGCATTTGGACACTTGTGATGCGTTTATTGACAATATACCGCGTGAGCCAAGGCACTACCTGCACCGATAACTCGTGAAAGTCGTGTTGAAATCCTTGAACTGGCTCAAAATATCAATTCCTTTCTGCAAGTACCTCCACATGCACAAACAATGCAATTCCAGAATTTGGCTACGCATAAGATAGTTGATATCTACGTAAGCGAAATAGTCCTGTGCTGGAGTTTTTCTTGTGCTCCAGTATCCATTCTATTTTTTGTTGATCGTAATTATTTTGATATATCCACTTTACACACTCGTAAATTGCTATAAATCCACATCTGGGATGCATAAAGTGCTTCTTGTCAAGAACTGAACTGAATTGCAAACAAGCATACACCAAACAAATTGTTGCTCACAATTTATCACAGAGGAAGTTGGATGTTATTGATGCCTAACACTGAGGTAAGAATCAATATATACTGTTCCGGGGAATTCTGCAAGGCCGCCTCGACTCTGTAATCATCTCAATAACAGCGAATTTAGGGAAACAAACATCCCAACCACACGCGTAATTCGTTGCTGATACTATTCAGGAATGATCATCTCAAAGGACATCCTTTCCAAAGTTTGTTCAAAAAGAGACTGATAGTGTCTATTTTTCAGTGTCAGGAACTCTCATTTCGATCCCAAGTTGATTGTGCTCGCTAAAGTATTGAGACAACTTCAACACCACCCAACACATGTGAGTGAACGTGATTATTGAATGGTTCTTCTTGAAATTTCGAAAAGTTCGGTATCCCCGGGAGAATTCGAATCCACGCATAGGCGTCACCTGCGCTTTTGTACAGCGCACGATCTACCAGCGGAACTACGAGGCACGGTGGTGTTATCGGTGTGGCGTCGTAGCTCAATTGGTAAAGCGTGCGCTGTACAAAAGCGTAAGCGGCATCCATTCGTAGGTTTGAATCCTACCGAGGCTACTGAACTTGTCACAATTCCAACGTAAGACCTCAACCTGCCAATCAACCATTCGAAGAATATTTCACCATTTTATTAGTGCTGCACGAACGTTCACCAAAACGGTTAAGTTGACCTACAGGTAATGACCAAACTTGTGCGCCATCCTGATTTTCATCACATTTGTTCCTCTAAATGCCTCGTTTTTCCGGGCTCATTCAAGGGATTGAATGTGATATTGCCCCACATCAACACATCTGATATAATACCCACTTATGCCATTACTTCTATTAGCCAAACGCCATTAAAATGTAAGGTTTCGCGAATTTGACGATGGTTGCGGGTGCAGCAGTAGAAAACTTAACTAGAATTGATTTATTAAAATGACTCATAGACTTCAAACAGGTACTGTACTTTCATCTTGTCCATGGTCAATTTGCCCTTCTTCATTTTTGAGCACTGGAGGCGGTCACTTTAGTATGGAGTTCACCAAGTTGACTGCCAAACAGAATTTTACAGTTTCCTCTAATACACTCCACACCCAGACCATTGATGAACAATGTCGAGGCAGCTGAAGTGGGAGATGATATCCGGAATAAATATACTTTACCCATAGCCAAAAATATATAAGTATGACATTGGAGACTGAAATGTACTTCCAAAATGAGAATGACGTTGCACGAGTTCGATCAACACCTGTATATCTGCCTGGACGGAAATCCTTTCCATTCGGAATTGCTTGAAAAACCATGTGATCAGGTTCGATTCGTGTACGGGAGTTGAAATGTGAGGGCAGTACTGTTAGACACCAGTGATACGATCGAGACAGGGTATATGTACAGAACGTGTTGAAGCACAGTTTTGCCTAGATAATGTCATGTAACTAAACCATTTTTGATAAAAAGAGACGGACTACCTTTTAAGTTTAGGTTTTAACTGGGAGGAGGCTTTTCTAGATAAAATAATCCATTTCTGATTGATGAATTCAGGGGCTAGTTGGGATTACTGGTGCTAGAAATACTCACGTCGGAAATAATTTTCAATCACTTTCTAAGTGACGGATCAATGGGCTCTGTGATTGTTTAACTTCCAGATAGGCAGAAATGTTAGCAATTGGAAGCGGAGCAAACGGTGGTTGCATTCGATTTGAACAGCATCAGGTCTAATGTTTGGTATTTTTGAGTGTAAGTTTCGCTCCTTCGAAAAGTGTGTTTATTAACAACAACAACAACACGATCAGCCCATCCGCGGACAAATAACAAGCGCAATATCCTAAATGAATGTAATCTCTTCGCACAAAACGTTTACTCTCGACCGTTTATCATCGAGTGAGTTCTTTTATCCACTCGGAAATTCGCAATTTGAATCACGTTGGGAAAAACAAAGGGTACACAGTGTTTTTCATCAACAAAAGGACAAAACTGCTTCTAAATACTCCTTCTGTAGCCTCTCACGTATGGTTGATTCGCGAATAGGAATAGGCCAGGAAACGAATTTGTAACAGAAGCGTTATTGAACGTCTTGGAGTGTGATTGACTGTACGGGAAAATCACGACAATATCTGACAATTCCCGGGCACTAGTTTCCCGCTACAATATGAGTATATATCCACATCTTTATCTTAGTACCAACGTTTGTGGACACTGGTTGTACATCACCGGTCTCCACTGTAACCTTCCGCACGAGAACTTCCACTTTTCGCTTTCAGTCCGTTTGCACGCTTTCTAGCTCGCTGCTCCTTGTTACCTTCTTGCTTTTACGCAAATTTTCCATTGTATTTCTGTTCCACGGTACTTCAATACACGTTTGTTAAAATCCTTAGTCTTCTGATTTCACCAGTGGTAACTTGGCAATTTGCTGACCCGTTTAGAAGCTTGCCTCAACTGATCGTAGTCAGCGTGTTTCAAGCTCGTACCTCTTGGACATGTACAGCAATTGCTGGTTGGGGATTTAAGCCCCCCAAAATGGAAACAAAAATGTGTAGTCGACCCTGGGTATGTGTAAACGAATACTCTTTGATATTCTGCACTTTATGGTAAGTTGTTATGATACGCCTAGATCGAATATTCTTACCGATGCCTTGTGTACTGTTATTCACGCCGGTTTCATCCTTGTTTGCAACGTGTTCTGTACAAGGATCACCAAAATCACTTACGTTTGGAGGAGTTTGTTGACAAACTGCCCAAACCCCTAACAGAGAATGGAAATCCTGTAGACTTACAAAGCTGAAGATGGAATCCAGCACGTGAATACAGCCAGCTGAACGAACGACATTTCGGATTGTAGAAACTGCCTAATTTCCATTTTGATTTTTGTCAAACTCAATTTAATGATTTGAAGATCATCGAGCACAATAAGACGATCCGCAACGGCAGCAAATATTGCTGGCGTAAATATTGTTGTTCTGCACGCCCACGCGGTTTCAATCATAGGTCGTCCCAACATCACGTGACTTCTTTCACACATTCAACTCCCAAGAGGGAGAGAGAGAGAGAATCACGGTGTACAACTGATACAGTTGAACAGATGAGCGATAATCATTCCCTGGTTTGGTCTCAAATCCCGCCAGTCATCAAATGAACTTGTAGTATTTTCTGTACCGGCAAATTTGATTTGCGATTCGCGTGATACGATGAAAGTGAAAGTGATATTATTGTCAACTCTGTCTCTCTCTCTCTCTCGAGCTCATTTGATTCGTCCAAAAAATGACTCATGTTATTTGAGATTGATGGTCAATCAGAGCAGAGATTGTGAAGTTGCTGAAGAAAGCCCCATAAGAATGTTGATGTCGTGCATTAAAACATTCCGGTTGGGTGACTTTTTCTTCATTAGGGTTCAAATTTAGTTTGGGTACATGATTGAATTTCCTTGCTGTCGGTGATGAGGATAAAGATGATAATGATGATGATAACCAAGCGTTCTTTAGTCCATGCGACTTTTTAATATCGGCTTTACTATCATCGAAAAGTGTTTCCCATAACACTACCACGCCTATTCCATTCTGTTCTGTGTTTCGAGCATTCGTATTGAAGAAATTAACTTTTCTGCAGGATCAACCTCACTTTCGTCGTTTGTATCCACATAAACCAAGTAGCGGATACTGCTGTTGATCATGTACAATCCCTAGGTTTGCGTGAAATGTCAGAAATCATATTGGTTTAGATTGGTAAATTGAAATATAGTTCCACACCCCAGTGGATAAAGCGTAAAAACGTAATACTATTTGGATAACAGCACCAGGCTGTGCATATTCGAGTTTCCACATTTTTTGTCGCACTCAGGACTTCAGGGGTAGAATACAAACTCAGAAATGGGCATCGAACTCATTCGAAAAATATTTAGATCATAGTTAATATGTGGTTTGCGGAAAAAAATCCACAAGTTCTTGAGCACGGTTAGGTGTTTTAATGTTATGTAGAACAATGCTGTTAGTTTTTTTCCGTTCAGTATACTAACCGGTATCTTAAATATTTGTTGTCTCAATCTTACAAGCTAAAGGGATCGGATAAACCACAGATGTGGTTGACACCCATCTATCCCGGTAAACACCCTGATCGTTATCTCGAATAGGTATGTGGATTGATCTCCTCTGGTCTGAATGCAAAGTACATCGATGAGGTATATTGGTGGAATCAGATTCATCCTTCGGCTTTGTTTTACCATAGTGACATCATCAATAACCCTGTGTGCTTCGGACAAAATGAATTCTCTCTGAAAAGAATGGATGGATGAATTGGAAAATATAAGTAACATGAAATTATGAACAAAACAACAAAATACCGGATCAATGGACCTACTTGCAAATCGCTACCGCTTATTTCAATCGGTTTCAGCGAGTGATCGTAGACCAACCGATCAGTTTGTATGTCGACCGGGGATTGATGTCTGCCCATTTGACACAGCGGCCAATGTTTCGGATAGTCTGACCCTGGGGTTTTAGTCCCCCATAGTTCTGGCCCGGTCACTGATAGACACCAAATTGGTCGATTAAAAAGGTGTCAGCCAAACAGGATTCAACAGTAACAGAATGATAGACGTATTTTGCGAGAGCACGCTAGCGTGCTAAATAAATCGATATATTAAACCACCTGAACACATGTGGAGAGTTGTCTAACTTGCAAAATCTGTGATTGTATTTTTTAATTTTTTAGGACACAATTAACTGTACGATATAAAATAGAACGGAATGTATGTCTTAATCCTTTAATAATTTTCTCTTTTTGAACTGGTCCGCACAAACATCCTTTCAACTGAGAAGTCACCGTTCAAATTTGCATGAATAGCACTGAACAATATGATTATGAATTGCATAGTAAATTTGGAATGGGACGGTAAAAGGGAAGTCCAAGCATTACTAAATAAATGCAAAATGACTCAATAATATTACGTTTCTTATCGGTTTCAATATAAGATTATATATATATCCTATCCAGATTACTTAGTTGTCTGGTGCATTTTTCAGCACATAAAAGAAAAGTTCATTGCATACTTGAATTTCAAACCTTAAAAATGGTTTCTACTTATCGATGCACCTACACGTCCTCTAGTGCATCGTTTGATGACTTAGTTACCACACGGTGATATGCTCAATGGATTCCAGTTATGCTTTTGTTCGTCAAGTTGGTGTACAATCGCGTCTTCCTGCTCTCATTGTATCATAAAACCGCTGGATGCTTTTTAAACCACGCTTTGCAGATCGATATCCTGCCGGTCTTTGTGACATCTTTACTGCATGCATACCTTTGAGTTGAGAAAAAACTAACGTTCCCTCAAAATATATTTCTTATCTGCTTGTGTAGGAGATACGAATAGTTCATCCTGGTAATGCATAACTAGGGAAACAAAACCGTACATGTATTGCACTCGGGAACTCTACCGGGTGCTTGTTGCATCACCTCGCCTATCTAAGTGCATGCATTACTTGGAGTGGTTGACCGTGATTGGTTAGTAATGATGCAGAACTGAATGGCAGGTCGCAGCAAGAGATTCATTGCAAAACATCAATCAGTCCCCTTCCCCGCAGTCCCTCTCTGCGAATATTCCGTTAACCACGCGTGACACGCATGAATGAGTGCCACAGAAGAAGTGAATAACATTAACTGTCGACCACTGTTAGGCACCGCTAGGATTATTTTCAAATAATTTATTAATTACAAAAATCAAGATGGAACCATGACAAAGATCCCTGGTGGACCCACCCCCGATAAGCACTTGTTCGGCAATCACTTTCCAGAGCTGTTTGCGCTTTTGTATGCAAACACAGTGTAAGAAGAGTGAGAATGATGAAATACCCTCATTGTTCTTTAATAACTCAATGGAAGAGTGAAATTCTTTTCGACTATTCATTCTCTACACAGTGTAGTTCCCATGCACAGAAAAAAATGGCGTAACCATCAGTGATCACGAAATAAAACGATGCCTGAATGATTGTGTTACATCGACAGTTTAATCAAGTGGATACAATTCTGTAATCCCTTCCCCAGTCCATTTTGTTGCTCCTGGCGTTTGTTTCCACCCTCTCTGATCGTGTACGCATGTAGAGGCTTATAAATGCGTAATGGAAAATGATTCTACACTTCAGTTGTCTTTTTATCAAACATGCATTGTATTTCGATTCGTGTGAAGTTGCAAGAATCGTACAATTGGTCACGTGTTCTCTCGGATCAATGCAATCACTCATTGCACATCGTCAATATCCGTTGATCTGGTACAGGTTTTATTCATTTATTCTCGCGCTGAACATTTTGGAATGGGAAGAAACGCGGATATATGTTTCACAGAACATCATTCGATTAGACGCATGAAACAATTGAGATGAATGTGACTAAACATGCGTTCGATGAAGAGCTTTCGCTGATTCAAGGCTCCGGTTATAAACGAGAATGTTTACATCATCGACGGTTTGACAGAATATCAAAATACTCAATGCCGTTGGTTGTCTGTATAGCACAAATAAATATTGAGGTAGTTTGCCAAAACAACATTGATCTACTGCTGAAATACTTTAATGTCTTTCAATCCATACAGGTACGAGTGGGAGAGGAACAAAGCACACTTGCATTCGTGTCATGATTTGAACGGTCGAGGCATAAGCTGACATAAGCTGAACATATACAATGCAGTATCCATAAGACCATATATTCCATTCCGCTGCTTTGAACAAAGCCACCCACCAAACATTCAGTATTTAACTGGTCAATACTAGACCACGTCTTCCCTCCTATTTCATCGTTTCATATATGGTAACTGTCACTAGCATTAGGTCAATCAGTTGTACAAGAATACTGTTGTCCAAGCGAATAACAGAAGGTGGTGTTCCGTTCGTGAGGATTCCGATAAAACTGTCTCTCTCTCTACATTTGCAACATTTGGCCGAAAACGGACATGTTCAAGAGTGACCTAGCAACTCCTTCAAATTACGTTTAAGCGATAGATTTTGTACCGTGAAAGCAACGCAAACTAGTGCACATTTTAGGTGTTATCTCAATCACAGGAATAGTAGGTTGATGAGCTTCCCGGGTTGTGTTGAAAACCAATAAAGATTCGAAGATTCAAATATTCAAAGATTTATTATGGGAATAACTTACAAGCTCATGCTTTTCTGGACCCATAGGTTCGTGCGGTGGATTAAGAAACAGTGATACATACAATTCTTTTTGTAAACTGTCACGTGATACGTGCGTTTTCCACTGCTTCACGCAGCTTCACTTATGTTGGAACGTAAGATGTGCTAGTGTTNCCACTAGTTTAAATGGATGTCCTCTAAGATGAACGTTGGGTGATAATTTCAGAAGCGGGCGACACGGAGGGCTTGGGTTTCGCATTATTTGGTACACCATAATCATATCTCCTCTGATGCGCAGGTAATGATTGGAATATAATCCCAGTGACTTCAGTCAGAAACAAATAAAAATATATAGTCTTTACAACTTGGTTCTGGCTATCGAAAGGTAAATCTCCGAGGGCCATTGTGTGCAAATTTTATACCGTATCTCCGTCACTATCGATGAATTTTGTAAAGGCACATGGCCTCGCCAGCAGCAACTTGGTTGATGCGCGTACGAACATTATACTTTAATTCAGATTACGTTCCTATAACGGGTCTGAATTCCACGCTCTCATGTACTCGTGTTTGATAGCACTTCTGTCAATGCGCACTGATTCCCAGTATCATCTATCCCGACAAACTAAAATGTTCCATAAACTGCTCCAAGTCGTCGTTCGCAGGTCTAAGACATGTCGGTTTTGCCACAGTGAGTTTTTAGCACCTTTGAACCTATGCTATTCCCGCGTTTGTACGCTATTCCAGCATGTATTCGATGGTTGCAACTCGATTTTAAGATTTTCGAAAGTTCAGAAAGAATGACTACCAAGAAAGTACAGAGACTACATTCCAATATCTATATGGAAAGATTGCCATCATTAGGGTTATATTCAGGATCGTCGAAATCGAAGAGAATTGCTTTTTGTGTGCATCAAATAATGTAGTACCCTGACCATTCACATTGTTCCTTTTGCATCTTGTCGCCCTACATAAAACTGAAGGGGAATCCATTCATGCTGGTGTTTCAGAATTTTCTACTGTAGAATGCCACCGTCATACTGTGTGCCCTCAAAGTCTGTGGTATTTGGAATTCCCAATCACCTCTAGCTGTTTCCGCACCCATAGTCGTGGCTTTCAAACACAGATCGGATCAATCAGGTCCTGCATTTTGACATTCATAGCAGTACACAAAACAGTGATGCATGATCGCTGAGACATTCCTCATCTCTCTCTTTTTGATTGTTCAGTCGATCCAGTTGTGCGAAAAGTCCAATAGGACAAGAAAAAGCAACTACTTATAAGTAGTTCCCGTAATGACTTTGACTTTACCGCCCACCCCACCCCCTTATGGAGCGCAGTTCAAAAACAAAGATTACACGTAACGTTGGATTTCTAACTGCAGTCCATGAATTTCCATTTAGTACTGACGGCTTTTTTCGGCAAAAACCCAGAGCATGCAGTCAGTGGGGAAAGGTTAATGTACAACAAGGTTTCGTGAAACCAGTGAGCGAAGGAAGAGCTGTGTCGGTATTCATCATATCATGTCGGTTCCCATTCATGTGCTCCAATTCCACCTCTAGTACCCCGATTTTCTTACTCACTGCATATTCCTGTACTAGTTTAGTGAACAAAAAGAAATGAAACATTGAAGCAATTTTATTCCTGAGTAGTGAAATACATTGCAATGTTTTAGCTTGAATACGAGCTTATTCGCCACCCAGTTGTTTTGTTTGAAGTGTATTAGTAATTGATATTTTTTATTAGGTTTGTAGATGTGGATTTGAATGAATCGATCCTTTGAGCAGTCCTCAATTTAGGGAATAGGCTGACAGTCGCTGTTAGAACACCACTGTGAATACCGCATTGCATGAGTTTGGTGATGAAACCGAACAAGTGAAGTGAAGTGGTGAAATGAGTTTAAGTGCACATATTTAGGTGGTCCCGGTCATCCATTGGAGCAAGTTGCGGAATTCCATGGACTAGTTTTTTCGAGCAAATGTTACGTATGTCACCAAAGAGATGATCACGAAGAGCGACTTTTGCCGATGCAGATAGAGGATGGAGAAAGGTCAAGGGTGGTCACAATAAGGCCTAGCATATGGGTATGAAATCCCTAACCATGAGACTTAGTCACATGGGTCGCGTTCGGTTCCCCGGAGAGGGACCTCGGGAACATAATATTCGATGATTAGAGACACTGATTGATGTGATTGAGTGTCCTAAACAGTGGCATCTTCTCAATTTCTTTGCAACATCAGTCTACCGGAATTCTCTATATATCTTTAGTCTTGCCTTCAACATTCCAATCTTCTATCTATCCCTTCACCCGAACAGGCCTCAAAAAGACGG